CACATACCAAATTTGTAAAATCACTTGACAGAAAAAGATAATGTTTAAAACTTTATTTATGCTCCCAAAATAAACAGTCAAAGAAAAATAATAATAAATAATATGTATATATAATATGTAGGTATAATATAATATGAATAAGGACCCACAAAATGTGAAAGTAACAGAGGTAGGAGTCTAAACTAGCTTCTTCTATGTTAAATGTTAATAGGGACTGCTGTGTGTGCCTGTTTGGATTTCTTTTTTTTTTTTTTATATAATCACGAGTGCTTTTTTAAAACCCCATTTTACAGCTATTTTTACAGGATGCTGACAAGTCAATTCTATACAAAATGTTTTTCAGATTCAAAATAGATTTGATACACAACTGGATGATTTTCAGTCAAAGATGCACAAACATCATCAACATAATAACTGAAAACTTCGGGTAAAATAATACTCATTATTTTTACACAACATGGAAAAAAAAACAAGATAACTATTTCCAGGAGTTGACCTAAACAGGTAGACACAAGAAGTGGTAGTGAGTAGTATGCATAATATGCAAATTAACATTAATAATGGTCATTAAATCACAGGAAGCCCGAAAGTATATAATGAAAATACTGCTACTACTAATAAAAATAGCCCTTCATGAATCATCGTGTTTTAGAAAATTTGCCAATAATTTTGATAATCAATGAACTGTTAAACTATCCATGATGTAAAAAAATTTTCAACATTCACTAGTTTGTGCTTTAGAATTTGTGAGGAAGTCATTATCTTTGGGTTTTTTTACAGACAGATTCATCTATAACAACAGTTATTGTTAGTTGTAATGCTACACAAGTCCAACACTGAAGGAAATAAATCTACAGATGAGAGGATGTCGAGTATGTGTTTTGCCTAGCTTGGCACAAATCCTGGAGGTATGGGGAAGCCCTCTTAAAGGGTTAACTTATGCGTTTTCAACCTGGACCTTATAAACCCACGTGTCTCTGTGACTAACTGGGATGACATTTTTGTTTTTTTTTAATTGGTCCAGTCCTGAGTGAGCACGCTGCAGTAAGCAGCAGTGAAACAGGTCTGACAACATTATGGAGAGACACCTTTTTTTTTTTTTTTTTTTTAGAGTAAGGTCCTTTTTGTTGAACCAGAAACAGTCACAATATCGCTCTGTTCAAAGCTACCAGGCCCCTTTGACAAAAACTCAGTAATCACTAGAGCAGGGTTATATAAAAGCATATGATGCAGGCTACAATAACTCCCCAGCTCTTTGTTCCCTTAAAGTTAGCCTTGTTGAGATAGTTTAACCATTATTTTGCAGAGCAAAATCATATGTCAACGTTCATCGAAGTTCAAAGTCCCTAAACATTTACTTCCACAAACAAATGCAGGTTCAATTGAAATAAACTGACTTTGCTCTGAAACTGTTATTAAATATTGCTGACTAAGCTTTAAATCTTGAAATAGAATTTCTATTAAATGTGACTACTGCTAAACATTTTCAAAATGTCTCAAGCTAGTTAAGCTAGAAGACGGTAACAGGTTTGTACTGCAACCTCTATCTTTCAAATGGAATGTAACAGACCTACAAGTTGAAGAACATATAGCAATGTACAAAGAACGATAATTAACACCCAACAACCAAACACTACAGTCAGTAAGTCAGCAGATTTAAAGCATTCAGTCAAAAGAAACACTATGATATGACTATGATTACCACAAACTTATCTCAGAAACACAAACAGCAGAATCTAACTATGCAGTAACATCACTTTTTGCTCCTCCTTCCTCATAGAGAACAAACTGTGGTGGAGGAAAAGGCTTTAGAGAATTTGGGAACTTGGGAGTGCATTTGAAATAGTTTTCTAAAGTGCATTAAAGATTGGTAAGTAGTCAAATACCTTTATCAAGATTTCAAATATACATTTATTATTGTGACCAACCTGCTTTTGTTCCTTCCTTTTGCTTCAGAGCACAAATGGTAAGTTATAGATCACAGATCATGGTTTATAACACGCGAAGTGCCACTTGGCATTATTAATGATGAGACAGGAAAACAGCAGTCATGGTGACTTTTTAGCTTATCATCTCTGTAACACAAGTTATTTGTCAAGATCCTATTTTGTTTGTTTTTTAAGCTAATTATTCTGAGATAACATCTAAATTAGAGGGTTAGTGTGGGATATCAAATATTGTTTTCTCACCATCAGGAACTAAATGTCTTTATCTCAAAATAGCAGGGTTTTATACTTCATGGTCTGGCCAAGAAGCTTTCATCTTGGGACTCTGTCTTGACAAAGTTGTAGGCCATATTAGAGTAATCATATCAGGAGAAAAGCAACAGGCCTACACATATTATTACAGTTTGGACCATCTAATCCAAACAATATTTTTGGAATACTGTCTGAAATTTGTCCATAGAATCTCAAAACCTGTCCAGTATCAAAATAATTTGGAATATTTTGCTTAATAAAAATAAACATTTGTACAGAAACACATTTATAGTCCTCAAACTAAAGATGGAAAAAGTAACTGTTATTGTTTTGGCAATGATACTAAAAGATTTCAAACAATACTAGGCAGTATTTCAGTAAGCAGTGACGGTGAGATAACACTCGAGAGAAATAAAACAAAAATTATTTGCTATCTTGATAAAATCAGAAAATTCAGTGATGCTCTCAACAAACTGTTCCTTCAAGGTAACATGTAAAAGCAAATGCGGCTGCTCTCAGCTTCTAGAGAGGGGTGGAAGATAAAATTCCTCATCAGCATCACCTCATGAGGCTGTTAACATCCTCAGACTTCCAAGAAGAGGACTGAGGAAAATAGAGAACAGTCAGTGCTGCCCAAAACATTTCACTACGCCTGCAACTGAACTGGTTAACAAACTGGGGCGCCCAAAACATTTTACTTTGATTGGACAAATATGTACAGAGGTACACTGCATTCAGCAAAGATAAAACCTTTTAAAGTTAACTAATTATGACACCTTATTACGAGACCAATATCACAAAATTCTGAGATATTCAATTCTAAGATAATTTCAAGATAAAATACTAAAATATAAGATCAGGATCTTTCAGATATGAAACATATATAGCACAATTATGAGATGACCTCAAAATTATAAAATAGTAATAGTTATCAGAAGAAATGCATAACAGAAGTAGGAAAAGGTTTTCTTGTAATTTCGAGGTAATTACTATTTTATTATAAAACTGTGCTACTTAAAACGGTTACCTTTTAATTACGAGACACATATTTCATAATTATGAGAACTATATATAGTTTTCTTGTTATTATGAAATGCAAATGCTGTAATAATTGTGGGATTTTGTAATTGTGAGATATAGATTTATAATTATGAGAGTTTTCTTGTAATGACAAGAGACGGATCACATAATTGGTGCACAGTTTTCTCGTCATTTGGAAATAACGATATGATTATGAAAGAGTTTTGTTTGTAATTATTACATACAGATTTTGTATTCATGGAGTAATCTTCCTGTTATTACGAGATACAGATCAGTTATTTATGAAACTTCTTGAAATTCCAGAAACAAAGGTAATGCATATTTCTTAATTATTAAATTATTTCTTGCAACTACGAGAAAAGGATCTTGTAATTATAAAACTGTTAATAATAATTCTAATTTTGTTAGATATCAAAATTATGGAATACGCATCTCTTAATTAGGAGACAGTAGCCTTCTAATAACCCTTAGTCATGAAGCATGGTAGTAAGATATGAATCATGTAATTGTGAGATAATTGTCTAGCATCTTTACAATTACATGAAATACAAGATAACCATAAATTTGTTTTTTCTGTGCTGAATGCAAAGCACCTCTATAAAAAACATAATTTCCTCATGGTATCGTGGATTTGTCCTAATATTTTGTATTGAAGTTGACATTATGAAAACAGAAAGTTGGAGGAGAAAACACAGTGAACCATCTCAGGCTCGGCTCCAGGGCATGAGCCAGGGCTGGGGAGGAGGACCGCGGTGGCGTCACTCGGCAGGATGTGCGATGCTGAACGGCTTGGTCATCCCTCTGATAAAGGTGGTGTTCCCTCCACAGTCCACATACTGGTACATCTCCTGAGACACCTGCTCCGAATGGCCAAAGTACGTTGTGGTGACAGTCACTCTGCAGAGGGTGGAGATGACACAATGTGAGGACAAAAACACACACTCTACATACAGAAAACAGATTAGAAAAAAAAAAAACAGGCATGCAAAGTGGATAGGATGAAAAAGGTCCAGGAGTTTCTAACTGAATTAAAATGAATGAATTTCTCATTGAGGTGAAAAGGAGCCACATGCACATTTAAAGAGGTTCTTTCCCCAAACAAAGACACAAAGAGGAGGGAAGACTAAATCATGCTTGCATGTGTGCTGACTCAGCAGGGAGGATATTACATGAGAAAAGTTGATCCACAGGAGAAACAGATCTGGAGGCAACCCAGAATGCCTGAGAGCTGTACTGCATTATATTCTGTTTATGTTTTAAATTGTTACCTGCCACCTGAATTATGTTCTCCTTTACATAAATAAAAATATTTCCACCATAAATTGGTGCAGAAAAAACCTGGCTGGAGATAGTTCTCCTCGACGTTATCAGACTATAGGTTTGTTTTTCACTGCGTGAGAGGATTGATGTGTGTTGCTTAACGCTAGCCTACACAGCGCGATTGAGAGGTCAGCAAGCCGTTTGTGACAGAGGGAATGTACCTCGGGAACAGGTGAGCAGCCAGCCCCTTGTGTGAGTCCGGCGTGACTAGTAACAGTGTAAGAAGATGGCCTCCGTTGTCGTCAGCGTTTGGTCGGTTCAGTTTGTCATTTGCAAAGTGATAGTAATAAATAAACACACACACGATCCCTTTCGTCCCAGAGGCGTCCTACAGAATATGTCTCTTCATCCCAAACACATTTTCATTTGTCTCCAGGACAACAGGACGCCGTTAGTCTCGAGCCCTGGACTACAGACCCCCATTTGACAAGATTTTGTTTCAGGGTCCCCCATCTGATAGGATTTTAGGAAAGTTTACGACCAATAGTCATTCATTCTGTCATTGTGTTACTTTTGGGTGGAATTACAAAGAAATTAAATTATTCCCAGTTTTGCTGGGGACCCCTTGGAACCCCCTCAAGGACCCCTGTGGGTTGCCAGACCCAGCTTTTTTAAAACTCAGTTTTGTCCCATGTTCTTCTGCTTTTGATTAGAGCTAGCTCATGCAGGCATTACATGTGGTAAACATAATGTGTATGTACAGAGAGACTGAGACATAAGGGTATACTGTTGAGGGGTAACGTCACATTACATTCAAGTAACTACCAGTGTTCTCTATAAATGAGCCAATCTATTATGGTTAAAATAGACCTGTCAGAAGAGTAGCTTATTAGTATAAGCTACTCTTCTGACAGGTCTATCATATATTAATCTGTTAAATGGAATGAGAAGAACAACAAAGAGCTACTGAACCTTTTCTACCTCAGATGGTACCGATACATGAAATGTCCAGGTCTGGCCCATGGACCAAGATGGATATTGCATGTAAACGATGTTGTGAAATTAGCTAGCCAGCTAACGTTACCTTAGCTGTCTGTCAGTCTAAGTGACACTTTGGCTGATAATCTAGCTAATGTTAGCCAACAACGCTAGGTTGACTAGCTATCACCAGCTTTCAACAATGTTGCAAACAATTTTTGTTTCCTTCAATTTGATCTGTTACCGCAGGCATGACTGCCCCCCCCCAACAAAAAATATATATTTCTCATTGGCTCCATGTCTCACTTGGGCCTATTTTGGATTCAAACTGACAAAAGGTGACAGGTTTGAATGTCTATAAATAATCAGAGATCATCACAACTTACTGCATCATGACGACGATGTTGTGGACCCTGATGGTTTGCAGAGTGCAGTAGTCACTGGAAAATAAAGTGCCATTAAATGTATACTGTGGGCCAATTAACAAATGACAATCTTTTCAAGCATGAAGAAATCCCTTCTTCACATGTTAAACCTACTGACCTGGGTATGGGTTAATGAAATTAAGATTAGCCTCATGTAAGGTGGTATTCTCAAATTCACAGAAAAGCCACCATTCTCCTAATGGCACTGGCACCCTGTGGCAGTCTGTAACTCCCCATGTTCACCATTGTTCAGTGTATGTTACCTTTAATTCCTAGTGTTCCCTAGCTCTGTTAATTGCTTTAATAAAACAAATTTCGTGTCAACCTTGTGTCCCAATATCACTGAGCTGTGAACCATCACATCTAAAACAAATCTTTTCAACAGCAGTTTTTTTAGTTAAGAACCAATATCTAGCTAAATAAAATTCTCTTAATTTATATACGCATTTTCTGGAAAAAAGACCACTAGCTGCACTCTGTGGGAGCTAATGGGAGCTAGTGGAGTCCTGTGGCACTCTCTAAGAGCTAGCTTCCCCAGAGAAGGTAATATCAAACATATAGTAACAGAAACCATTTATTCCCTCTTGGTCCAGTAATCATCTGTATTATGTTCAGTTTGAAGGATGTACTGTGTAATGAAAACCATGTTTGTATTGTTCATTTTCTTTTAGTAATAGCGATGCTAGTCTCATATGTGATTTTGCTTAAATGTTTAATGGGTCATGGTGAAAGACAGATATACGATTTTGTGCATAAACTCCAGGTTGAACAATTTCAAGTTGTATAGAAGAATTATTATCTGCTCCCAAAGAAAGGAGGACGATCCAGTCGCAACCATTACCCATGACCCACATCCATATACCTAAAAAGATAAAACAATATTCTCCTCTCTTATTACATAATTTCTTCTTTTGCGACTTCACATTTCTTCTTTGTTTCTGTTTAGTAATTATTATTAATTATGCATGCTCTTTGGATTTTTTTCTATCACAAGCCAAGATAATTTAAGACTGAGACAGAGGAGCCAAAGTGCTTTGTAACTTTTTATCACAGAAAGTTTTAAAGTTACATCGCAAAAGCTAAAACAGTGAGTTGGGAAGTTACTTCTAACTAGACATTACAGGTCTTATAGGGTCAGGTCATGCTCCAGGTTACGGGTTGTTAAGTTCCTGTAGTGCTGTGTAGTTTTCACTTATTGGCCCACCTATATGCTGATACCATTGTGATTAGCCAATATCGGCAAACATCTGCTAAGTGACATTAGCACAACTAATCCAAATGCTCTAATCTTGTATGTAGCTGGTGTTCCACTCTACGGTATTATACACAGTACTTACTACATGTAGTTCATCTCATCTGCGATGATGGTGGGGACCATATAATCAATCTGAAAGCAGAAATGGAGACCGAAATAAGAAAGAGTCAGAGATCTACGCACAGAGAGGAATATAAATAGTCAACAGACTAAAGTGTACCTGTTTCATGTCCAGAGGACTGATGGCAGTGATGTTACTGATGCGTGATTTACCGATCACCGTCTTGGCAAACTGCACCTGAGCTGTGACGTTGGTCACCTCTACGGAGTAGTAGTTGTTGTTGGTGATATTAAGAGTGTTCTGGAGGAGAATGAGCAGTGGAAGAGTTCATTAGTGTAATTTGTATACTTCTAGCAGTGGCCACACGTTTCCTACTATTACCACGAAAACACAGTGTGTAACACAGAGTGTAACATGTCATATCACGGGTGTGTTTGCGGGTGAGGGTGGTGTGGGTGGAGGCCAACCATCCTTTCCGTATCACACTCTCACTCCCACATATTCAGTTTCACTCAGAAATATGTCACATTACAGAAGATACAGACACTCCAACTTCCCTTTCACTTGCAAGTTTGCTGGGCAGATATGTGAAGAGATCTGAACTGCGATTTGCTCATCTAGCCAAAGTCTGAGTGAAGCCACTAAAAAGCTGTAGGAGTGGGCATCGTTAGGATTATATCTTTATCTTAGTCATACTCCTATCCTGTTTTTTTCATGACTGAAGAATTTGTTTATTTTAAAAATGATCATTTAAAAAAGAAAGACTAAATTCAGAAGAGATTACTATTTTAAATAAATACCTAAATATTGTTTTCAGTGGAAAATGTCTAATAGCCTAATATTCCTGACATCAAAATACTGAATAAAGTTTAGGAAGACTCAGACGTCTGTCAGTGTCAGTCGTTCCTCCTCCCTCTGCTGCAGGGTGATCCACTGCCTGCAGGTACCACTGGTAAAGAGGAGGCGCCAGTTTGTCTCAGGCCACATCCACACCACTACGTTTGTTTAAAAACTATGGCTGTACGATTAATTGACATGTCGTCATGTGCGATTACATAACCGCAAAAAGGGTGCGATTTAATTAAACAGAAAAGGTGTGTGTGACACACTCAGGCTGCTCATTATCCACGCCCACACCGGGCTCCCACATGTGCCTCTAAAACAGAAATGTGCAATGAGAAATGTGATTTATTAGCAGTGTGCCAGTAACTTTTAAGACAACAACCTACTTTTTATTTAATGTTATAATACTAAGACACTCAGGTGTACTAGCTCCTCCTCCAGGTTGTGGATAGTGTCTCTGCAGTGGACAGATGTAGATTTAGTCAGAGTCACGATACCAGTGTGCCAATATATGCTCCTTCTAGCCACCTCCTCAGTAGAGCAACATGATCCCCTTGTTCTGTTTTACTAGTTATTGTTATACATATTGTTTATTCAAGTTGAGGAATACACATTTTGAAATGTCAGTATTTGAGCATTTTCCTTGATAATTAAGCAAGTAGACTCATAGTACCATTTGTTCCATTATAATTGCTAAATTACTGTTTTTTTTGTTGTTTTTTTTACAAATCATGCAGCCAGTTTTAAAACGAATATGATCTCCGCCCACTCCAGTGTTTTAGCTGCGTATCAGAACTGATCTCTGTCTATATTAAAACGGCTGAAAACGCACATCACGTGGCACACATGCCGTAACAGGAACAGTAAACAGGAAGCAGGAAGCAAGAATGTGACTGTGATGGCAATGAACAGACTGGAAGTCGTCGCAAAGTAAATGGCGATATGCACAGTGCAAGTCTAGGCTAAAAGTGTTATTTGCACGGTACATCATATTTTAATAAAAATACCAAAACTAAACTCTGTCAGTAGCATTGTGCTGCTTTGCATGACTAATAAGACCCAATTAGGAAGGCAAACGTGAGTGTGTGTCATTGTTTTAAAAGTCCTCCGTTTATACCCGTCCGGTTTGAAACGCTACCTGTAGCAAAAAGTCTGTCATTCAAAGCGAAAACGTAGTAGTGTGGATGAGGCCTCAGCCCGCTCCTAACTTTCCATGACTTCCTTTCCGTGAATTTGCCAGATCATCAACATCACACTTGAAACTGGATGGAATATTATGATGATTTGATCCCCACACAGATCTGCATATTAGCATATAATATAATCCAAAGGCTTGACAACTAGTGCAGGTGCAAAATCACCTGTGTTGTGTACCAACAGTATGGATTGGTGCAGTTTATATCAAATAATTTGGAGACTCAAAAATCCCTTCCCTCTCTCTCTCTGAGAAAAAGGAGGGGGTAGGAAAGATTTCCTCCCCTGGAGGTTGGCCTTTTGACACGCAGAAACTATAGACATCGCCTGGGGTTTGGTAAGGGTCTGCAGAGACTCAGACATGCATCGCTTAAGGACGCCGTAAAGGTGTCAATAGACACTTGAAAGCAAAAGAAGTGTCCAATCCCTCTCCCTCTAGGGTGCCTCAGGACATCAAAGTACCGGACGTTCTGATCCCTTTTCCCATAGAATGGCTGGACCATAAAACACCACTCCCTTCTCTTCTTTTAGCTGATGTGCAAATTTGATAAGCCAGGAATGCGAAAGGGGGACACTTAACAACTCCTGCCTTCTTAAGCTAAACAATGTTTCATTATAAACTGTTGTTCTGTTTAACCAATAACCCTTGCTATGTTAGTAATGGCATTTGCCTCCATTTGAGTAGTTACGTTACCTTGTTGTTTTAAAGAATCTAAATAAGTTAATTTTGCAGTGTTTTAATTTTCAGCAAGGTTAATGACATTCCTTCATTTTATGTGTAACCAATGCTTGTTCACAATACTTTCTGACAATTCCTTTAGAAAGGATATGATAAAGAAATGTCATCCTATACTCCATTAATTTTCCAGCTCAAATTTAAGGTTAAAAATGACTAAATTCCCCAGCTCCTGAGAAGATTGTTTTAGGATTAATCAGAGCTATCGTCATGTAACCAGATCTCCCCCAAGTGGACAAAATAAGTATTACATGCCATCGTCTGAAATGCCCTTAATGCATAAATATCACTCTGGATTTTTCATGTCCAATAATCTGATGCCATTTGTGTGTCTTGCTTATATTCTCTAAGAACATGTAACAGCCAATATATCCAGAAAGCTAGTTAAATTCTTCTCCTCTGATGCGATTCATTCTGAAATGCTAACATTTTACAGTTGAACTACTGACAATTGTTTTTCCTTTTTATCAAGTGCTTAAACTAAGAACGGACCGTTTGGCAATTAAGGTTTGATTGTGGGAAGATATTTGATTACAATACGCGCAAATAGTTTTGACTGATTAAATATTAAAAGTCAAAGAAAGACAGTCTCTCGGAAACCGGAGACAAACCCTCCCTCTTGGGAAAAAGGACTACCCTCTGGGAACCACGCCCCAACAGACAAAAGCAGCAACCCACACTGTCTCTCACTCTCTTGTCCTCTGTTTGTTTCTGACTCTCCAACTGTGCTTCGGCATGCGCCTAGCGTGCTCCCTCTCCTGGCAACGCCCTGGAACAACAAAGCCCTTTTGTTTGTTTTGCTTCGATATGAGATTGACTGACTGATTTAAGATAATTGAGCGATTGTTAACTAACTGATCACTAGTGAATAATTGTCTAATTATTAGCCATACTAGGGAATCCCTAGACCCTGGGCGAACGGAATATCGGGTGGTGCCCCGCAAAACGAGAGATTTATGGATTAATATTTTCTGAATATTAAAATTCATAATTTGGTATGAATTCTCATTTTTAAACAATGTAGTCATCCTACACCTGAAATCATTACAGCTCATTCAAATCATGACTAACACCTGTTCCGTTTTACATTTCAATCATCACGTGGTTTCTGATTTCTGTGTTATTAGTTCATCTTCATCTTCAGCTGTGCCCCTGACACAGTTCCATCATTTGAGCGGTTTTCACTTTAAAGTGGTTGGAACAACACAGATTCCATTTCTTCTGTTGTTGTAAACTTTCAGTTAATTGCCATATTGAGCCCTTAGAGCAAATTATTATCTGTCATCAGTTTATCCTGTGACGTACCAAACTATTAGCACCTGTGCCTTTCTGAGGTTACCGTTTATCCACAAGGGGCAGCAATAAAGGTGATGGAAAAATAATCATTTAATAATGGATATTACAGAGGGAAATGCTGAAATATATTTATACATCTGAAGCAGTAAAAAATATTGATGTTGAATTATACCATCCTGTACAGCTACTGTATTTGCTGTATTATCTGCACCACACGAGTTACACCTGTTAGTTCCAGTAGTTTCAAGTAGGGATGCAACGATTACAGATTGGTACGATTATTGTCAGAGAAATAATCACAGTTTCACGATTATTATCCATAAATTAATTTCACAACACTAGTAATGACTTAAGTTGATTTTTCATATGTAATTACATTAACAATTATATTTCTATAATATGTAACTAATATTAATACAAGAGGGATATTAACTTCATTTACTCCCCAGGGGAAATTGTTATAAAAGGGAATAAACTGAACTGTTATGTCATAAACTCTCATCCATACGTATGTTTTTTGAAAATTGAGAACATCTCTAATGCAGTGACTGAAATGCAGTTAATTGGTAGCCTATAATCCTGAAAAGTCTATAAGCTCCTGGTGTTATATTAAGCTGATGATACACGGAGCAACTTTTAATATTGCCTAGCAACATTGCTCAAAAAGTTTCCCCGTGTATCATCAGCTTAAGTGTTTTACACCTGGCAGCATTTTATCAACACAGCCAGGAGAAGGCAACCGGATGTAACGTTAAATGTTCAGTGACTGAAGGTCATGAGAGGACTATGTTCTTCCATAAAGGCCCTTTCAGAAAAGAAACGATTTGCACTGCGTGGAAGCTGCTCAGCGCAAAACTTCAACTACTTTGAGACTCGTGGACGCGAGCTCGCCATGCGGTGCACATTGCTCAACGCAGCAACAAACTGCCCTTGCGTGTATCAAGGTCGGATCCTGACAATTTCAAAAATAAATACAGAAATAAATGCTCAATAAATAAATAAACATCCGATTAAATGCACAAAAACAAATAATAAATGTAGGCAGTGGTTAAATTATACAATAAGACATAAATCTCTTTTAATTGGCTTCTTTATTTATTGACCTTTGTATTAATTACCTTATTTATTTATTGTCCGTTACAATCTTCAACTTTATTTATTAAGTACTTATTTTTTAAATGTATTTATTCGTGTGTGTTTTAAGATTTTTGTCTGTTTTACTCTTCCTTTGCATTTTCTACTCTATTTATTTTCCTATGGTATTTATTTCTGTCTGCTCATTTTACTTTTCTTTATGCATTTCTGACTCATTATGCAAATGAGGAGGGCCTGTGTCTCAAGGAGTTAACTTCTCCCCTATTGGTGGACCAGTAAGACAGTCAGAGGCCTCCCTTCAGTGAACTGAGGTGTTTAGCAGCTGTATTTGAAAACAATACTACCAGCCATGTCATTTAGCAACATACATGGACACAGAACTCTGACACGGAGCAGCTCGTTGCCCTGTGCCTATGAGCTGCTGTTTCAACAAAAAGGCCATTCAGGGTGAAAATTCATCATGTTGTGTCGGGAGATGCAGAGACTCAACCAGTGGTGAGTAAGAAATACTATGAATAATACATGTATTTTGTTAAGCTATTTGCTATGCTAATTTAAGTAGTGTTAAATGCAATATAGACTAAAGATCTTAAGCTAACAAATAAACTAATTTTGACCGTTATTAATAAGCCGAATTTTATGCTTTGTTAAATGTGATTGCTATTAAGCCATGTTTTATACTTGGTAATGGAGTCAATTTAAAGTTTACTGCACTTTACCCGTCGACATGATTTAATAGACTAGTTAATGTTCTTTCATGTCTTACACAGAAGACAGAGGAGGACATAAACATATTCGTCAGAGGACAAGAAGAAAAGATGAAGGAGAAGGAGGAGAGCAACAAAGAAGATAACCCAGAAACAGAATAAATTCTTTCTGCTTTATTAGCTGCTGCAGTGCAGGATGAACTAAGGATAGACCCGTTTCTCAACTTATTATTCTAAGTCATGCATTGAAAGGGAAGAAATGCATAATAAATCCTGGGACAAAATCATTTGTATTTATTGCAATTATTATATTATTTGGAAGCACGTCACAATTGAGAAAAACACTAATGAATTAATAGCTGCCAGATGATGTCATTGTTTATTGTCAACTGTTCAGCTCTGTTTACCAGCACTGCAACCTGTAGGTACCCAGATTTTTAAGTTTAATACTTGCATGTTGCAAACCAAAAGGAGAGAACATAATCAAACAGTTGTATTTGTTTATTATTTGCACATTTTCATCCCTAGTGCCACTGTTCTTTATTCTGGATTAGCAGGATCTAAAAAACATGTCATAGCTGAATCAGATGATTGTGAGAGTCAGTTTAGTTTTCATTAATTGTAAAGTAGTTGCCTTTACATCCAAAGGTGTCTTTGAGGGTGAACTGATAAATGGCAACCCATCTGTTGATGATCACTAATGAATGTTCAATTGTGGTCCTAGTTATCCACAACTCAAATCAGAAATTAAGGAGAAATGTGTTTTATAGCACCTCAAGAAGACTTCCTATCAGAAAGGAAGGTATTTCAATGTTCAACAGCAGTACTTCAATCTCAAAATTGATACAGAAAAAATGTTTAATTTTAAATCTTTATGTAGTCAGAGTTGTCCGGAACTCAAATGTGATAGCCTAGTCATTGTCAGGAATTTTGTATTTAATGTTTTCCCAGCAAACCAAAATAAAGTAATTTTCAAGTGTTCACTTTTAATGGACACATGTAACACGTTTTATACTTTCTGTGAATATCATTATTTTCATACTGTATACACTGTGTTAACACCTTAGTCTGATGTAATTTCATAAAGTGTGTTGTATGTGGTGATCGTATCGCGGACAAATGAGATTTGATAGTCTCTTTTTAGATACAACTCTCAGACTTCAACACTTGTCTTTGTAAAGAGAGAAACTGACAGAATAAAGTCTCTAACTCTGCCTGCCAGCTCGCTCTGCTGAGCTAACAGGCAGAAAACTGAATTTACCATACAGGGTCGAATATGTATGCACTCCAAAGTTAGCTGCTGCTAGGTGACCTCGCATATGGAGGCAGAAATGCAGAGAAATGTAAAACTACAGCTGACAGAAATAAATACCATATGGGAAATAAATAGGGTAGAAAATGCAATGGAAGAATAAAACAGACAAAAATATTAAAACACACACATAAATAAATACATTTAAAAAAGAAGTTATTAATAGGTAAAGTTGAAGATTATAACAGACAATAAATAATGAAGCTAATTAAAAGAGATATATAAATTTATTTCTCATTGTATAATTTAACTACTGCCTTTACTAATTTTACTTTATTTTTGTGCATTTAATCAGATGTTTATTTATTATTTCTGTATTTATATCTTAAATCGGTCAGGATCAGTACTCCATAGGAGTGGCACAAATTGAAAATAATGGATCTCAGAGCAGTGGTGCTGTTGTTGCGGTGGGTCGGAAAGGTTACACCTGCTTCGTTTGTTTACGTTGCACTGAAAGCTTGACTCTCACCGTTAGGGCATCGATTGTAAGTGACACGTTTATATTTAATTTCCTACCAACTTGCCATGTTATTTAACTCAGTTGTAGGCCTATTACCTTTACTTGTGCGCGCAAAGCTGGGTGGTGATCCTGCAGGTGCTACATCAAGTTTAATGTGGTTATTCGCTTCTTTAGCAGCAACCGTTTTAACTGTGACGTTTTAAAGCGCAGTTAATAGTGAAATCCGGTAATCACTGCATCCCTAGTTTCAAGCTGGGGAGCCGAAACTTACCGTGATGTTGAGATAGACACTGCGCTTCTCTTGGCTGTAGCTGACAAAAACAGACTTCACCCCGACGTAGGACACATCGATGGAGCGAGGGAAGAGGAAGAAGACAGCCAGACTGGACAGCAAGAGGCAGACCACCACTGACGCGGACACATACAACTTCCTGAGGAGGACATAAGACAACCATGTGACTCCCCGACCAAACTGACAATCTGAACTACATAGTGTTACACACATTTCATTTCACATTTTCATCCATTCTTTCCCGTCTTAAATAATTTGAAAATGTTGATGCTCTGAATGAATTTAATTGTAGCGGTCAGTTTGAATTTTGTCCAAGAATCAACTCCGCCACATCCCTCATCTGTGTGTGAAATAGTTTTGATGATACTTTCATCCTCCAACTAGACAACCAGCAGGCAAACATTACTATTACCCTGTTCACCTTAATAGTAATCCACCAGGAATGTGCACTTGGGTGTATTTGGTTGGTGAATGCAGTGCAACTTTGCTAGACAACCCTGCGTTTTTTTTACCAGAGCCCTCTGCATTAACGCAGAGGGCGTCTGTTTTTTTTAAAGCAGTGTTAATGTTAGAGTTTTTCTCCATTGCTTAAACACCATCTCTAGGCTTTTTAACTAAAATTTTAAAACCATAACTCCATTTTTCAAAAACCACACCCATTTCTCTAAACTCTTCACACAAATGCCTTCATTTCTCATTTCCTACACCATGTGGTCATTGAGAAAGCTCTGACATTCAATATTGGTCACTCAATCAGCACAGGTTGAGCTCAATTAGCACACAGCTACCCAGGTGGGAACACAAAGAGTCAAAACTGATAACACACCAATCAGAAGCTTCAATAGATAGATAAAAAGGGCCAGCGTCAGTTCATTCAGTTTTGGAACAATGGATCCAGAGAAATCTGAAGGAAGAGGTAGAGGACACTAGAGAGGAGGAGGAAGAAGAGCAGCAGCAGTATGGAGAGGAGGAAGCAGTGAAGAAAGAGGAACAGTAGGAGTTGGAGGAAGAGACAGGAGGAGGAAGATGAGGAGGTGGAGGAGGCGGAGCAGGAGTAGGGAGGATGAGTAGGTGGAGGAGGATGTGGAGAACAAGAATCTCTGGCCTGTCCCAGACCAGACAGGAAGCTGGGGCAGAATAATTTGTTGTTTGGTGTGTTGTACCGCACACTAAAGAATAAAAAATGTGTGCGAATGTATAAATTTGTTATTTGTTTTGTGTTCATCATGTGAAAACGTTTTTGAGGGGGAGAACCACAAGCAACATTACTTATAACCAGTTTTTGTTGTATTGTTTTGTATTTATCTCACCAGTGTGTACAACTGTGTTGTAGTGCGTGTGTGTTAGTGTATGTGTGTGTTTTGAGGGCTTGTGTGTCATGTCTGAGGGCAAAGTTTAGTTTTTCAGCAAGACTGAATGGTTTTGAGTCGAGCTTCATTTTGCCCTGAAAATAGGATATTTGAGGAATTGGGTGAGAAGTTGTGGATTTGTGTTCAGAGTTTGGATAAAAAGAGGCATCATTTCAAAAAATGTGTTTAAGCAATAGAGGAAAAAGTAAAAGTACAGCCATACAGAACAGGTCTCAGGGGTATGCTGTAAGTGGATGCACAATGTGTTGGCTAAGAATATGTGCATTGAATGCTTTGTTCAACATTCTGTGAAATTGCCTATCCCCTTCCTTTCTTAATGGTGACATGAGTCATGTGTTTGTGTTCACTACACAGGTGGAGTCACAACACAATGTTGAGCCAGTATAATGACTGTGCCAGGATTTCTTCCAACCGGGATCCATATTTTTTTATATTATACACACACACACACACACACACACACACCTCCTCTCTTTCACTCCTAATCTTAATAATCCAATGTTGCTGTTTTGGGATTTATAGCTGCTACATTAAATAGATTAACAAATGACAATGCATTTTCCTTTAGACTAGCAGTACTTCAGAACTGGGCGGTTACCTGAGAGCAATGCAAACATTGCACAAATTATTTTTGAGCATGTTCACTAAACTTCAAAAGGTCCTTCAAAAGGACACACACACACACACACAAAGACTTACGTCCTCCTGGGCCGCAGCCTTTGGTCACTGTATGGAATCAATGCCACAAGTTGATTTTCTTGTCCTGAAACACAGACAACAATCCATGATCAGTCTGTGGTGCAACAGAAGCCTGTTTTACACCATCTCCTAGTTTACTTTAGGACCATCACTGGATATTGGAAAATCATGTGGCTATGGAACACACACGCAACTAACTTGTTTCTCTTCCAGTTAGACTACCCCAGCCCCTAACTGTGCACACAGTGGCGTTACCTCTGGGGATCCTCCCGGTGCCCTGACATGTGGGGCACGTCACACTGTCCCGCCCTGTGAACTCCACGTAAGGAAACTGGGAAATGTCTCCTCCCTTCCCGTCCTCGGTCTGGGTGTCCTCCAGAGGAGAGGTCAGGCTGTCCTGACCCTCATCGTGGCCTGTCCGCTTAGTGAGGTGGGAAAAAGACTTCCCCATAGTCACACCTGGAAGACACAAGGCAGAAGATCCGTCTGTGTCTCACGCTGGCAGCTAGGTATCTGTCCATACCGGAGTTCAACTGTTGGCTGATGGCCAGGGACCAATGGAAACCATTGCAGACGAGAGCAGAGCTGCTACGATCAGTCGATTCATTAGTTGATCAACAGAGAATCAGTCAGCAACAATTTTGATGAGCAATTTAAGAAAAAAAATCTCAGGTTCCAGCTTTTCAAATTCTGGCTGATTTAATTATTAAATATGAAAATAATTGTTAGTTGCAGCCTAAGAGGTGAGGTGGGCATACATGGCAGAGCTCTAACCAGTGGAGGACTATGCAAGTGAAGACCCTTGTATCTCGTCAAGTGCCTTAAATTATTGTCAAAGCTTTAAAAAAAAAACTGATTTTGACTGACTGAAACTGATTTTTTAAATCTTTTTTGAAAATACTGATTACTCATCACGTTGATGGGAGAAAACACTTCCAACGGTAGGCTGTAGTCTTTTACTCACACACTGTGCCCGTAAATCATTTTACCAGTTTGCATGCATCTATTTTTAGGGGCATATGTGACTGAATTTGTCTCACTGTAGAGCCCTGCATGGTACATATAGACATGGGGTTACCCTGGTGCCGCTTGCTGGCTAAATAACCACTTAACGCTATGAATTGCTTAGTAACCCATCACCCAGACATTCGTCTTTTAGCAAATCAGCACAAAAAACACAACAATTGCAGAGTGTCATAATGAATGCAATAAGTTGATTAATCAATTAGTCGGTCAAAACTATTTTGATAATCGAATATAATTTTTCAAGCAAAAATGTCAAACATGAGGTGTGCTGCTTATCTTTGTCTTACATTACAGTGAATTGAACTCTGGACTGCTGGTCTTCTTCTCTTGTGCTCTAGGATATTGTGAGGGGCATTTCTCACTGTTTTAACACCAAACAATTAATCGATTAATTTAATAAAAACCAAGCAGATAAATCAATAATGAAAACAATCGTTAGTTGCAGAACCGCCAGCTTCCTCAGGTTCTATTGGCTTTGATTACAAAAGTAGTTTCAACTACAGCATGATAACAAATTAGCCGTTAGCTCATTGGAGATACTGATGTCAGGTGAAAAAAAATGACAAAATGCTAAAAGGCCAAACAGGCAGATTACCCATTTTATAGTTTGTCTCCCCAAAATTACTGACAAGTAGGTAACTCTCAAATATCAACATCTATACCAGCCTCAAAACTTCTGCATCAATCTGGCTATAGTTTCAACTCCTGTCTGTGAAGATGTCTTCAATCGACCTTTTCCACTGCGTTTGCCTCAATGCAATAATTTTTATGAAATGTACAATGAGGCCATTGATGAAGTCTGCAGTCTGCCATAGCTGTATTATTAACACAAATAAGAAGTTTTATTATATTAAAACTATCACGAGCTGTGACTCTGCTGCATGGTTATTATTCCAGTCCTTGACTGAGAGACTAGATAATCATTTTCTTGTTTTTAAATGATGTGCACCTATGAGGAGTTCCATCACGCCCCCATATATTGTCTGGACTGTTCCTAGAGGCTCCTGCTGGAAGGTGCAAGCTTCATTTTGTGCATGTGCATATGAACACATGCCAACCTGCGACACGACAGAACTTCAGCAGAAGTACCGGTTTGCTGTTAATTTAACCACAAAGTAATTGACCTTATTAAGTGGATCAGGTTTGTCTTCTGTACTGGGGTAGATGTCACCCCAGTACAGAAGACAAAATGCAAGGTCGATGGAGAGAGGAGGAGCAGGAGTTTGTTTTTTTGCAACGCTTGGAAGAGGGGAGTGCCCTCTCCTTGACTGGGTGAAAGACATCATGCCACAGCGGTGAGGCTCATGAGTTCATGCGGAGTATTTTACTGAACCTCCCTAAGATGTCCTCCCCACTAAGGTCATCATCAAAACAGTACCTGGAGCCTGTCTTTCAGTCCATGGCTGTCCTGCATAAAGTGTACCATCATGTTGCTGATACCATCATATCAGGGCAGGTTTTCTCAGAAGAATTTAAGTGGCAGAACGAGATCTTTACCCTCCAAAGAAGGAGTGTAACTCCTGGTGATCCTTCAAGGCTGGGAACTTGCCAGATTAGAAAAAGTCCTGCGTAAAAAGTGCAGGACAAAAATTGATTGAAAGTGTCAGGTCTTTCTTACAAGACAAAACTGGCCCTTTGCTTTACAATTCATGACATGTCTATGGACAATGCCACTGGCATGACGGTGAGGGAGCTCTGTTAGCCAGGGAATTTGCATCCACCCACTTCCTCTCTGAGCATAAGGGGCATGAGGAGTACATTTTGTGGAGCGATGGTTGTGGGTAGTTCCTGGAGAAGGGGGGTACACACAGATGTAATGTGATTCAGAGTCATTGAGAGGGGTCTAAAAAACCAGGAAATGACCCAACTGAAGATGTTGACGGGATTAAGAGAGCGAGGTCCAAGCCCAACCTGTATGAAGTCACACCAGTGGACCATATCTTCTTCCAAAATGTCACCAAACTGAGGCTCTGCAAGCCTGTCCATCCAGGGATGGTGACCCGACTATCCATGATGTCAGAGCCACCAGGTAACTGTCCAACTAAAACCACATCTCTCTCACCAGTCCAAGTCAACAGTCTTGATGTTGAACAGTTACTTGCTCCTGTTAAATGGTGATGTTCAAACTCTTGTTCACTCAGTGGAACACATACACACACACAGTTATTCACATACAGTTATCCACACACACATAAAGTGTGACAATAGCTGGTTACTGTCTGTGCAGCTGTGAGCTTGATGGGAACCATTCACTGTCAACACCCATCCAGCAGAAAACCGATTCTGGTCACCGGCAGATCGATCTGTGAATCTCCAGAAAATCTGGAAGTTTGGGTCCCAGGGAGACACCTTATTTCTCTTTTGGGTCATGAGCTGAAAAGGGTTGGAACCCACTGCTCTATTCTAATTTTTTCAAATGAATTTAAATAAAAGGAATTGATAATCTAATCATGGGTATGTTGATTTATTTAAATCTTATAGATTATAACAAAGGACAGTGTAGAAAAAGACAGTTTTCAACGGTCCACATTCATTTCAGGGCGGCTTAGATTGTAGGCTATTTCGGGACGGTTCTTTGAGGATGGTAAAAAAAAAAAACAAAGAGCGCAAAAACACAAGATTATCCCAGAAATGTCCCTCACAGTACCTACTATGTGTTTGACTCCCATAGTAGTTTTTCATGATTTGGCTATTTCAGAAGTGGGAATTTATTAAAGTGATTAAACACATTTAGCTTTGATAAAAAAATATTATTCATGGAATCATCATCAATACAAACATCATGTTTCTATGAACATCTTTCTTAGCTTGATTTTACCTCACCCTGTGTTACCAGTGCTTTCCTAAATATATGGCTGTTTAGGGCATTAATTCCATCATAGACGATTTCAAACATGACAGCAATACAAATGTGTTGGGCAGCACGCCACAGCTCCTGATAAAGAAAACTCCTCAGCAAGTCTCAGCAAACCGTGTGACTGTTGAAACCTGAGTTTTGAATGTCACACTTCTAACTTAAACTAAGTGAAGGCTGCTCAATTATAAGTTAGAGTTAGGCAACTTGGTTGAACAAAAACACCTTTTTGTCAGTGGGTCAGTAAGGATAGAAGTATATGTTAGTTCGGTGTGGTGTTTAGCCAGCCCGCATCGGTCAGTACAACTTCCTGCTCGGGTCACTAAATAAAATTACGTATCATTAATAACTTTTCTGTTTTTCACCTGTGAGATTGTTAAAAAAAAAAGTTTAAAAAAGGGTAACTTTAATAACCGGGAAGCCTTCTTGCCTAGCTGCTTGTGTTAGCAACATTTAAACCGGTGTTGCGGCCCTACTGGTTTCCAAACCAAATGGTTGCCATACGCGTGCCCGTGTTGTAGGCAGAATATTTCCACTTCTACTCTTCCTGTGGCTCGGTGTTGACAATAAATTCATGTTTTCACAGTATAGTCGGAGTTAGATCGTCACTGTGTAAAAGCATTCCCGTGTCATAGTGTGAGGGGGCTGTAATTCAGGGGTCAATATTGCCGAAGCCTCGAGAAAAACACTTTGATAAACATGTTGTTGTATTTTTTTAAGATCGCTCAAGGTAACCAGTTATTTTAGATCAGCCCAAAGTGTTACCTGGATGATGACGTGCTTCATCAATACGTGACTGGAAATCATTTATCTGTGACTGCTCGGTTAGCTCGCAGATACCGTGAAGAAATGGAATAAAATGTGTATAAATGAGTTCGAATCCAGCTTGACGCGATTTTGTAAAAAGTCTGTTTTCTTTCATTTCTTTTTCCGTATGTGGCTCTAATGTAGTGCTCACTTACACAATCATGATCGCCGCAGTAGATTAAAGATGCGACTTCAAACTCGCCAGGAACATGTTTGTGAATGTGTGACGAATCTGGGGATGGAGTCAGCCCGCAGCTGCTGTACACAACACGCGCACGCGTATGGCAACCAGTTAGTTTGGAAACCAGTAAGGCTACAACACCGGTCTACTAAGTTTATTAGCAAGTTAACGCTAACGTTAATACTGCTAACATTAGCTTAGTTTAGGTCTGCGAAATGGAAGCTGAAGCTAGTGGGCTAACAAGCCACGAAAGCAGTTAATATTTGATACATTGGCAGGGGACAAGTTAGTCGATGCAGCTAAAAACATTACCGTTATTCAATAAACCAACGTCAACAAGCAAGCCGTCAACATACCTCACCAGACTGACAGTTAGCCTGCTCGCTAACTGACGTTACCCAAGAGCTTTTCCAAAATGAACATTAACTTTGTAGTGGCCGGTATTACGAGAGGTAACGTTAATGTCCCTAACGTTAGCCCATTTAACATCAAACCCAGACTATCTAAGCAGATGTTAATGTGCGAAATGCTGCAATACCACGCAATTTCAGCGAAATAAGGTCATAGATAATTACCTGAATGTGACGCTTTAAGATTACCGCTGCTACTGGCTCACGCACATGCAATGTTGTTGATCCACTGATAAACAGACATGCGCGTGTGTGATACATTCAGAACCAGTGGACAGACCGGTTCTCTCACAAATTGTTCTTTTCACTTCCATGTAACGTTAAATGCCACTAGGACACAGCAGAGAATTCTTGAATGACTAACGTTAATACAATCACTTACGTTTGTCCTTAGTGGAGCTATTCTTTTATATATATTTATTTTACTTTTTTGTAAGTTCTAAAAATAGCTGCAGCTTATCACATAAGAAATCTTTGAATACTCATTTTGTCAATGTGAAGTGAAATGCTGAGGCATACTGTATAGATGTGCTGTGAGAATGATTAGAACAAAAAATATAAGTATATATAAATAAATATAAAAGATAATTTCACAGATGTGAGGATTAGTTTCTTGCTCTTGAGCAGTTGGCATCTTGCATGACAGCCTCTGCCATCAGCGTATGGATCTGTGTGAATGGGGTGAATTTGTCATGTATTGTAAAAACTCTGAGTGGTAGTATAGAAAGGCTCTTCATAAGTTGGCTACAGTATATTTACCATTTACTATAATGAAACAACCACAACAGACAGACACTGATTACTTACTTGTCCTGTTGACAGGAAGGCACAGGGAAACAGCTGACTATTTCAAGAGTGCATCTTTAACAAACTGCAGCAAGCGACTGTTTACACACAGTTGGTCTCATGTATGGCGGGAGCAATATTTACCAAATAATTTTAAAAAAAGACAACACACACAAAACTTTATATTGTAGTAAATCTACTAAAACTGTGATGTGGCATGTTGTCCATTCCCCCCTACAGAGCACAAATGCATCATTATAAACAATGAACATTAACTAATCAATAATGAACCTTCATGCCCAGCTACAGCAGTTTCTTAATCTTATCATTCATGTTTATGTTTTTGGAGAGCCAACAACTTATCTTCAAAGTTAAACGTATGCTTAACATTTAGCCTGTATTGCAATGTAATATTGTTCTTACTATGTTGAAATGACCAAGATGATAACAGCATGATAAGAGAACATTGTCTTCTGAAAGTTGTCAATTCACGTCTACAATTGCAGTTTTAGGATTCATCCACTTGGTGGCAGTGTTTACCCAAGTTCTCACATGTGGGTGAGGCCCTCAGTACTGATCCATTTCCACGTTAGTTATCAAAGTCCAGTCATGTTCCACCCGGCACCTGATTCAGCATTTTACCTCATAATTTATATAAATGATTCCTTATGTGGAAACAAGTCTTCAGAATGCAGAAGTGAGAGCAAATTGAATTATGTCAACCAATTTGGAGCTTCTTTTTGTTTCATAAAAATAACTCATCAAGCCACAATATAAGATTAAATGACTTGTTGAGACAGAAAAAAGTGTGATCTCATCACTTCTTGTAAAATGTTAATTTAGGCCTATAAGCTTCTACATGAAAAAGGCTAACCTTGTTGAAAAAAGGTAGAATTAAATTGGAAATGCAAGTATCGGGACGTTTTCTCTGAGACAATTTTTAACTTAGATTTAAATTTAGAGATGGACATTTGACTACATTTTGACAAGTTATCATGGCTCGAGAGTTTGGAGGATATCCAGGCTCGTGGCTGAGGTGCTTCCTGCTTATGACTACATTGCGATGAAAGTTAGGCATTTTCTTGCTGGCCTTGAAAAGGGGGTAACAGAGATGGAGGAGGATTGATTGGGGTTGTGTGAGCAGGCCAGGCAAGCTTGCGCGCCTGGTTCACTCTACTCCCCAACTCATCCGACCCGAGATGTCACTGCTGGCTTCTTGCCATGTCCAGACAGCCAGGGCTCGCAGGGGTCACATATTGTTAAGATATTCACCCCAGCCTTAAAAGTGTGTAAAATACATGGTACATGTTTGCACATGCAGCAAATGGGCAATTATTGGACACTTTAGGTACAGTGACCCTTCCCGTATGGTTGGGTGGCCTGTATTGGGAGCTGGTTGCTCATATATAACACAGGCTATTCTTCTGGGTTTTGATTTCATGCGATAGACTCAAGCCATTATGGACACTGGACTGCTCCATCATGGAGACGTCAACATTCCTCTCATTCAGGTGTTGGCAATACTATGCTTCACATGATGGCACCATTGTGTTAGGAATTAGGGTTTAGATGGCATCAAGATTCTTATTAAATAATGTAATAATAATTAATAATAATAATAATAATCATTCGTGGGAAAGTTCAGTGACCCACATGATACAAGTTAAGATCACAAATGAACTTATTCCCTTTTGGGAGGTCATTGTGATCCCAACACAGTCCACAAATTTCCTTCCAGAATCTTGTAACATCTCTGTGTCTATTGATGCTACTATTCCACCTTTAGGCAAAATTATTGTCCCTGTTCAGGTAGTGCCTCCCACCCTGCTGGAGCACACATTGACTTTTATATTGGCTATTTGGGCACATTTTGGCGCAGCTGCCCAACTGACCACAAACTGAATGCACCCCGGCTCCCACCTGAGGGTATTTCACAATGTTAATGTGACTTACTCACTAGGAATGTAGCCAAATCTGAATATGTAATTAGGAAAAGCACAGATAATGCAATGAAACCGATGTTTCTTCAACCTGAAATTAATTATTTTTTGGGGAAAAATCAGCTCTGGAGTGTGATAAACAGTGTGAGAACAGAACCTTCTGCTGTTTCTGTGACTGCAGAGCCTCCTTCAGCGCAAAGTAAGTGCAACAATACAACTGCGTTGCCTAGCAACATAGCATTGTGTGTGCGCTACACTGTATGTTAAAATGTTAAGCTCACTTTGCTTTAAGATGTGTTTGTCACTGCCGTGGAGTTTATATTGTTTATACATCTGTGTTGTCTGCGTTAGTGATGTTTTATTCTACTGTTACAAGCTATCAAGCTCCTGCGTTTAGGAGGCAGACAGCACCTCCACATAGGCTTAGAGAAGGCTGAGGCTTAAGACTTTCCTCTTTGACGAAGTTTATAGTTAGGGCTGGCTCAGGTGAGTCCTGAACCATCTCTTAGTTATGCTGCTATAGGGCTAGACTGCCGGGAGACTTCCCATGATGCACTGAGCTCTTCTCTCTCTCCATCTGTATGCATTCTTATCCCATTAATGCATGTTACTAACTTGACTTCTGCCCTCTCTCATAGTTTTGTGTTTTCCTACTCTCTTCTCCTGTAGCTTTCTGCACGTGTTTCTGGCTCCGCAGCTGTGGGGTTTGGATCTGTGGTAGCAGGCTTCCTGCTGCCCCCATGTTCCTGCTTGACACCTACTGCTACAATTATAATTATTAGTCCTGTTATTATTATCATTGATATTGCTACAATAATTAGTACTATTATTCACTTTTATTGATGTCTGTACCACTGCCACCGGGTGGATGCTGTGTTGTGCTGCTTCTGTCTCTTTACGTTTTGTCTTGGCTTTTTGTCTCTTTTCTGGTTAATTGTTGCAAGGCTTATTTAGATGAAAGACTTGTTCTCATCAGTGGTATGCACATGCTACAAAAACTGTCTACGAATGGAATTAATTGTCGGTTGGACATCAGGGTTGTGATGTTGTTCCACTAGTGTTGTTGTATTGATATTTAATGAAATTGTAGCCCATTGAAATTTAAGATTACTCACTTCAACTGAAGGATATTTTTCTATATATCTTTACTGTACCTCATACCTTGCGACCCTGTATGCAGGATAAGCGGTTGACAATGGATGGATGGATGGATCAGTCTTTATTGTAAATAGTTTCTGTTTCCTTTTTTCCCCCTTTTTTTGGGTGGTTGGGTTCAGACAGTTAACAAAACTTAATTTACTCGGAAAAATGAAAGTACGGTGTATTCAATCAATCTGATGCTTTGAAGGCAAAACTATTGCATTTCCAATGAGTATTAGGTTAGACAATACAACATTTGCCGGTTCAACATGACATCCTGTAGCAACCATGCATGCTTCTATCCCTATCTGAATACAGATACAGGGGCAGATAATTTTGTGTGTTGAACAGATACAGATATGGATGGGGTAGAACTGGTAACCCAGCCTGATCAAAACACCACCAAAAAGATAACCACCCCCTGATAAAGCAACAGCCCTGCTGTACTTCCCCTGCGGAGGGAAATGAACAGATTAGTGCAGTGCCTTTTGCCGCACAGCATTACTGTGGAGAGCTGTAGTTCTTGGTCTTCTCCTGTGGTGATCATCAGGAAAAAGGATAATACATGGCGATTCTGCATCGACTACAGGAGTCTCAATGCTTTTATAATAAAAAGCTCTCATACGCTGCAGCCGGTGGATGATGCTGGATGCCCTAGTGGGCCCCAAATGGTTCTGGACCTTGGACCTTTCCTAAAACTACTGGCACTTGGAAGTAGCACAGGAGGACTCTGAGAAGACCGCCTTACCTACTGGCCAGGGCCTGTACCAGTCCAAAATCCAGCACATGGGTCTAACCAACATATAAGCAATGTTCCAGAGGGTCATGGAGTTTATGTTAATCAGGCTGCCATGGGACTTCACAAGTTATTGATATACAGCATATTGCTGGATGAGCTTCACCCTGATTGGAGCAAGGAATCCTGGAGCATGGAGGGATGGAACTGCATACAGAAAAGAGTAGGATGTTCGTATCAGATGTAGTGAGACATTTGTGCAGGATGTTGGGTGTGA